GTTCTATCTATATACACTGATCTACAGGAATAAGGAAACGCTTTGTTTTAGATATGCTATCATGGGTTCTATCTATATACACTGATTGAGATGAATAAGGAAACACTTTGTTTTAGATATGCTATCATGGGTTCTATCTATATACACTGATTGACATGAACAAGGAAACACTTTGTTTTAGATATGCTATCATGTGTTCTATCTATATACACTGATCTACATGAATAAGGAAACACTTTGTTTTAGATATGCTATCATGTGTTCTATCTATATACACTGATTGACATGATAAAGGAAACACTTTGTTTTAGATATGCTATCATGGGTTCTATCTATATACACTGATTGACATGAATAAGGAAACACTTTGTTTTAGATATGCTATCATGGGTTCTATCTATATACACTGATCTACATGAATAAGGAAACACTTTGTTTTAGATATGCTATCATGTGTTCTATCTATATACACTGATTGACATGAATAAGGAAACACTTTGTTTTAGATATGCTATCATGGGTTCTATCTATATACACTGATCTACATGAATAAGGAAACACTTTGTTTTAGATATGCTATCATGTGTTCTATCTATATACACTGATTGACATGATAAAGGAAACACTTTGTTTTAGATATGCTATCATGTGTTCTATCTATATACACTGATTGACATGATAAAGGAAACACTTTGTTTTAGATATGCTATCATGGGTTCTATCTATATACACTGATTGACATGATAAAGGAAACACTTTGTTTTAGATATGCTATCATTGGTTACCAGCCTTGTCTACCTTGTCTACCTTGTCTACCATGTCTACCTTGTCTACCATGTCTACCATGTCTACCTTGTCTGCCATGTATACCTTGTCTACAATGTCTACCTTGTCTGCCATGTCTACCATGTCTACCTTGTCTAACATGTCAACCATGTCTACCTTGTCTACCATGTCTACCTTGTCTACCATGTCTACCTTACCCAGCTTGTTTACCATGTCTAACATGTCTACCTTGTCTACCATGTCTACCTTGCCCACCTTGTCTACCATGTCTACCTTGCCCACCTTGTCTACAATGTCTACCTTGCCCACCTTGTCTTCCATGTCTACTATGTCTACCTTGTCTGCCATGTCTACCATGTCTACCTTGTCTACCATGTCTACCTTGTCTACCATGTCTACAATGTCTACCTTGTCTACCATGTCTACAATGTCTACCTTGTATGCCATGTCTACCATGTCTACCTTGTCTACCATGTCAACCATGTCTACCATGTCTACCTTGTCTGCCATGTCTTCCTTGTCTACCATGTCTACTATGTCTACCATGTCTACCTTGTCTGCCATGTCAACCATGTCTACCTTGCCCGCCTTGTCTACCATGTCTACCTTGTCTGCCATGTCTACCTTGTCTACTATGTCTACCATGTTTACCTTGTCTGTCATGTCTACCTTGTCTACCATGTCTACCTTACCCAGCTTGTTTACCATGTCTACCTTGTCTACCTTGTCTACCATGTCTACAATGTCTACCATGTCTACAATGTCTACCTTGTATGCCATGTCTACCATGTCTACCTTGTCTACCATGTCAACCATGTCTACCTTGTCTACCATGTCTACCTTGTCTGCCATGTCTTCCTTGTCTACCATGTCTACTATGTCTACCATGTCTACCTTGTCTGCCATGTCAACCATGTCTACCTTGCCCGCCTTGTCTACCATGTCTACCTTGTCTGCCATGTCTACCTTGTCTACTATGTCTACCATGTTTACCTTGTCTGTCATGTCTACCTTGTCTACCATGTCTACCTTACCCAGCTTGTTTACCATGTCTACCTTGTCTACCATGTCTACCTTGTCTACCAAATACGCTTTGGAAACAATGCACACAAGCACATCTCAACATCAGGTTCTGACTTGTTGACATTTGTATGCTTATTTCGTTATATTGTTCATTTTTCCCTTTTTCGTTTCCATTAGTATATGAAGATGTAGATATAGATGCCTGATAATATTGGACATTCCTGATGATCTGTATGTGTATACTTTTACATCATGTAGACTTGATCATATCTTGCCTATTTGATATCAGTAATTATCTGCTTCAAGGCCATAGAAAACAAATGGATTATCCAACGACACTGATTAAATTGGTCGAAAAATACAAAATAACGATGAAAAGTGTATAATTGGATTCCTGAAAACGATATCGGTAATGACACAGATGTTCGAAAGATGTTGTTACACTGATACCATATTTCAATTATATTTTTTTGAGAGAATATATTGTCTCATATAGTATGACTTAATACAATATTTGAATAAAACGTACGTCAGAAATTGTATGAAACTTAAAAACAAACAGTATTCCATATTTCAAGTTTTGAAGTTCGCAAACTCCACTTTCGTGAAATGTTATCTTAGCTTTTACCTTGTCAGGGTAAACAATATTTCATTAATCTTTAATACATCATGTATATTTCTGTCGCATCTAATACAACGAACATTGCTGATTCTAACAACCTTGTCAAATAGTAATCGATTTCCCATTAACTCGACATGTATGTGGAAATTACATGAGGACGTGCCCCGTACTTCTGACGACCACCTTCTACACTGTCCATATTCTCATCTGTAGAAGCCAAAGTTGTATGTGCAGCTGAAGAACTTAACGTTATGATGCAGAGCAGTGGTGCAATCCCGGGGTAACTGATGCAGACATTAAGGTGATGGGGAAGCCGTTAGATGTTCACGCATCAGAACCTTTCCACTCCGGTAAAGTACTGAGATCACATTTCAATACCAAATAGCATGCAGTACAGTTATCGGCATCTATATTGATATGTTACCCACTCTCTAATGACAAACATACGTCACCCACCCACGCACAGAATGGTGACACATTTACATGAATTTCGTGTCACACTTGTCAACATGACAGGTGTGTTGCAATGTAACACGTTTACATAAATATATTAATATTTAATATTTTAAACTGATAATGATAAAGGATCACCTGAAACGACTTAAAAATAGCCCGAAAGACTTTCAGTTGTTCATTCATAGAGGTTACACACAACCAAATGTTTTCCAATATACTTCTATAGTAACGTTATATTTTTTTAAAAATAACTAAGCATTCAACAGCTATTACCTGTAAGTGTGTGCACAGTTTGGCCTTAGAGCAGCAATAATAAAAAATAAAAAATGACTAACTTAGCCAGCTCCTTTTCCGAGTACCGGAAGCTAAACACACCACCCCCAGTTTCGCACCAAATGTCACCTACTTGAAAATAGCTGTGGTCACATTCAGCATAAGTCATCATGTTGAAAAAGACAGTACTAAATATAGAAAAACATGGTCAGTTTTAATAACTGGATGGATTTACATTTGAAAGACATAAAAATCTTACAGAATATCCTCCAATCACAGCCTGCAGATATCTCTCGATCTGCACTGAAGGCTACGAAAACCTCACTGTCCAAACTGGTTCTGATTTGGTGTAGTAGAACCTAGACAGCCGTGTACGCCAAATAGAAATAATCCCTTTCGACCGATTATCTAGACTGGTGATATTGTTGCTTTCACAATATATTTGTTGCTCGCTATTTTTGTTTCTGTGCGTTAAAAGTTTCCTTGTTGAACACTGAAATAGTTTTAGAATTCTCCCAACTTGTTTACTAAACATAAATGTGAAAAAATAAATAAAAAATATCGTATTGATCACGAGGCTCTGTGACTCCTGGTAAATAATGCCGCATCTCTCTCTCTCTCTCTCTCTCTCTCTCTCTCTCTCTCTCTCTCTCTCTCTCGGGGGGCACGGGTGGCCCTGTCGTCTAAGGCGCCGCGATTCGCTGTGTAGAGTTGCGTCCCTTGGGCACGCCAGAAACCTATGATTGTGGGTTCGAATCCCGGTTCGCCCCAATTATGTTTCTAGGTTTGTCAGCACCATACCCGTGCTCGTGGGTTTCACCGAAGTGGTAAACGTCTGAGACCTGCATCACTTCGGGCTTTCCTCCCATATCAAGCTGACACGCCGCGATATAACTGGTATACTGTTAAAAGCGGCGTTAAACGCAACTCACTCACTCACTCTCTCTCTCTCTCTCTCTCTCTCTTTTACAGTGTCTCGCTAAGCAAAGCGTTTCACAGCAAAAATAGATACTCGGAAGAGGAAAAACCCCGTCTCCGTGCATCTTAAAGCTGTTGCAGATGTTAGGGCTTAGAAAACAAGTGACTCATTCATTGGGATAAATCGAATTCTACAATATCGATACAGACATATGTTGTTCCCGACGATTGTCGGGAACAACATATGTCTGTATCGATATTGTAGAATTCGATTTATCCCAGTTATGTAACGTCATGATCAGTGACGCGCGTCAGTGTAAGACGACAGGCAGACAGGCCGACAGATTTGTATTTAAGTCTCACCTCATAAATGTACATTATAAAATACAGCATCTTATTAAAATTTGAGCCACTCCACTTGGAGTTATGAGAGACTATATATACTATTTACACATATATACAGATATATATTAAAAAAGTATATAAACAACGTGTTTAATGACGATATAAATGTCTTTTCTTTTCTTTAAAATATAATAGCAGGTTTTGGCCGCAAACGACATTATCAACCTCTGTCTCCATAAAATCAAGGTAATTTTAAGACGAATCCATTGACCTAGATAGTGTTGCTTTAAACCAATTACCACATCAACTCTGACCATTAGCTTCGTTCAGACTAGGATGACATCTCCCTTCATCATCAGCTATGGAACATCCGTTACATTTCTCCCCAAGGGATACAAGCATCCGGCTTCGACCCTCATCATCACCACTATCCCAAACCACCATGTCATGTACTCTCATTTGTTGACATTAGGTTGGTAGTGGCGGTACAATACAAAGGCCCGGAGTCCTAGACCTAATCCTAACTGAAATCTTAGCGTTGTCCTACCGGGGCTCAACCAATGGCATAACTAGTTATAAATGCCTCCCGTTCGGCATACAGGTAAAAGCTGCGGGCTGGCGACGAGCGTCAGTCGACTACGTGAAGCGACGGGTGATATACATGTGGTTACTGGCTATTGTTGCGCTTGGATCAATACACAATGGGTAAGTACAGATACAAACATTTCAGCGGCACGTGATTACCAGTGCGTGGATTACTATCGCTGTGGGCTTCAGGTTTGTTCTGAGCATGAGGCTTGCTCGCCTTCTGCACGTCGCATGTACTAGACACATATACGAGCCTTATAGAACAATGGCCATCGGTATTCGATACCCATGCATATTGCATGAAAATTTCTCCCAGCGAGGCTTTTTAAAATGTTTCTTTTAATGAAGGTAGTGTTAATGCCTACTTTCTGATTTCAGATTTATCATCAGACAATGGATTCAGTTTATACTGTATACGTACACGTATATTATACAGCAATATTGTTCATATGTTCATGTATTTTCATGTATATGCATATAAGGTATAATCGAAGCATGTGCAGTGACACGTTTTGTTGTAAATCTCGAAGTTTCAATCGGACAAGGTTTACAACTGAATCATGTTGCTTGTGATCGCGTGTTTATTCGCAGCTTTCCTGTCAATATAGTTGCACCATAACGCTCCAGTGGTTCTACAACCACTCTATTCATACAGAAGAAATGGGTCATTGTCGTCTTTGTTGGTAACTCGACTTTGTGTGTGGCAGTTATACAATATGCTTTACAGTGTAAGGTGTTCAATAGCAGATCGCCAGTACAATCCCCCCGTGGTACGAATTATGAGCGAGCTGCCGATATATACCCGCATTGAAAACGTGAAAAAACAAACTCGTATTGGACTGTAATATAAGGATCCCGATTCAATTAAATTTAAGGTAAAGGGTAGTAGTACTTTCATTTCTCGTGAGCCATCAATGTGAAATTGCGATAGTTTTTACAGTATGGTGTCACAGGTTGAACGGTAGTTTATTTGTTATCGCCGCACTCAACAATATTCCAGCTATGTGACGGCGGTCTGTAATAATCGAGTCAGGACCAGACAATCCAGTGTCTGACATCAGTAACATCGATCTACGCAAATGGGATACGATGACACGCATCAACCAAGTCAGCGAGCCTGACCACCCGATCCCGTAGTCGCCTCTCACGACAAGCATAGTCGCCTTTTACGGCAAGAGTGGGTTGCCTTTCTAACGGGTCTCATCACAAAGTGTCACTTCGACTAAACTGCATGGCAAAAGGAAAGTGCACTAAAGGTGTGGTCAGGCTCGCTGACTTGTTGATGCATGTGAACGTATCCCAATCACTGGGATTGTCTGGTTCTGGTCTGGTTCAGACTCGATTATTTACAGACCGCCGTCATATAGCTGGAATATTGCTGAGTGCGTTAAAAAACAAACAAACAAAACATTATGATGATATTCAGATAGCGTGCATGCTCAACCTATCATATATTCCTATTTGCCAGGTGTCTTAATGAGCAATAATAGTAGCGATTTATGTCAATACACATGACAGCACACAGTGGTATTTGACTGAATATAATAATTATTTGATTTAATTTTATTTTCGGCGCATGATATGTTTTTGCGTCCTGGATTATGCGTTATGCATCCTTGGTAACCTATTAACACAAATAAAGGACAGGAATATTGTTAAACGTGCTGTAATATTAACGTCGATGAACGCCAACGCCATGTATTTGAAAAATAAACTGCCAAGCAAATGATAGTATACATCCATCCATGGTGAAACAAACAAGAAATGGTTATCCGATGGTGATGTTTGTTTGTTTGTTGTTTAACGCCGCACTCAGCAATATTCCAGCTATATGACGGCGGTCTATAAGTAATCGAGTCTGGACCAGACAATCCAGTGATTGACAACATGAGCATCGATCCACGCGGTTGGGATACGATGACAAGTATCAACCAAGTCAGCGAGCCTGACCACCCGATCCCGTTAGTCGCCTCTTACGACAAGCATAGTCGCCTTTTACGGCAAGAATGGGTTGCTGAAGACCAATTCTACCCCGGATCTTCACGACCCCCGATGGTGATGTATTTGATACGTGTATCATACCTGTGTTTTTTACCTTAAGTTTGCAGTGTTTCGGCAACTGTTTTCACCAAGGTAACATTTTTATAACATTTGTAATTGTTTGGTCAAATCAAATTTTCAAATGTATACTTTCTTTTGCCCGGCAGTTTAAAACAAAATAAAAGAATGTAAACCGTGTGCGTTTCCAAACTAAAACCTTCATTCACTACACACGTGTTGAATTTGAACACTTAACCTAATTTCAGACGTGCGTTCAAGGAATTTAATAAAAAAACATATATCGTTAAATGTTTTAACCATATTTGATAATAATTAAAATTTTTGACGAATGTTACCTTTATCAAGGTTCATAAGTTCATAATTCAATTTACATTCGTATTTTGCAAGTATTAAAAACAGTCCAAACGAAAATATCCAGCGGGAATTAATTAGGAACTATTCTGGATCAATATACTGAAATTGTTGATCTCGCGTCCATTATCAGGTGTGTCGGTCGTGTTGACGTATATTAGTCATTGATATGTACTATATCACTCATGTGCTAAGTACTCACATATCTATAGACTACAGGGATCAGGTATATACTAATGTCAGCTTTAACACACTATCAAGTAACATATTTGGCATATATAGCTTTTCATACAACCTCCGGTAAGCTTGATTAATTGCGTCCGCGATGCTCTCGTTCAAATACTCCGTCACGATCCAACAGTCATTAGCAATGGCGCCGTTATTTATATATTTCTACGGAAGGAACTAAATCTGGTGATTAATCAGATGACATGTACTGTCATACGACACACACACACACACACACACACACACACACACACACACACACACACACACACACACACACATATAAATGAGGTAAATGTTCACTCGGTGTACATGTAATATATAATATATATATAAATATAAAATTTCCAAATGATTTATTCCAACCGCAACTGCTTAGAAGCTTCAGACGGACATGTAGACCTTTCTAATATATATATATATATATGTTCCAGTTGCAGAAGAGAGTGCTCAATACCAAGTAGACCATAAATACAGATTTGGATACACTTTCTTTATTTCATTTTGCAACTCTGAGTTTTTTCAACACCGACACATGGTACTGCGTACGATCATCAGGCATAATGAACAATGGTTTTCAGTTTGACCCATTCTTCTTCGCCCGGCTTGGGAGTTTACCATGGCGACAGGTGGAAATGCGCTCGCTTCTTTTGTTTACCTTGTTAGATGTTAGCATGATAATCTCGAGCTTCTCGTCCATGCATAGATTGCAAATCCCTGAGTCTCTCTTGTTGGTATTGGACTGCTTGATTATGTCCCATTTGATGTTGCAATTGGCTTTGTTTCTTTTCAACTTCCAGATGTGTTTGGAGAGTTCTGTCTCTTTTTCATATTTCTCAATTCTGAACGATTTTGTGTGATTGTTATACCTTGTCTTGAAGGAACGCTTGCAAAACCAATGTAGGTTACATCATTGGTTGGCTAATCAATCAATCAAATCGAAGGACTGTAACTGCAAACAAAAACCCAATTGCCCAATGAACAGTAAATGCCTCACTCGTGACCTCGTCTAAAGGCCACGTTTACAACAGATACCAGTTCAAGACATGTGCTATCTTATATACTTAAATGCAAGACGCTTTTTATGGACAGAAAGTTCTTTTATTCTTTGTCACGACGTCTCAGATCTACTTTTTGCTCATTCATCAGGTGAATGAATGAGCATGAAGTACCTTCAACATTCACCTGATGAATGAGCATGAAGTACCTTCAACATTCACCTGATGAATGAGCGTGAAGGACCTTCAACATTCACCTGATGAATGAGCATGAAGTACCTTCAACATTCACCTGATGAATGAACATGGAATACCTTCAACATTCACCTGATGAATGAGCATGAAGTACCTTCAACATTCTCCTGATGAATGAGCATGAAGTACCTTCAACATTCACCTGATGAATGAACATGGAATACCTTCAACATTCACCTGATGAATGAGCATGAAGTACCTTCAACATTCCCCTGATGAATGAGCATGAAGTACCTTCAACATTCACCTGATCAATGAGCGTGAAGTACCTTCAACATTCATCTGATGAATGAGCGTGAAGTACCTTCCACATTCATCTGATGAATGAGCATGAAGTACCTTCAACATTCACCTGATGAATGAGCATGAAAGTACCTTCAACATTCACCTGATCAATGAGCGTGAAGTACCTTCAACATTCTCCTGATGAATGAGCATGAAGTACCTTCAACATTCACCTGATGAATGAACATGGAATACCTTCAACATTCACCTGATGAATGAGCATGAAGTACCTTCAACATTCCCCTGATGAATGAGCATGAAGTACCTTCAACATTCACCTGATCAATGAGCGTGAAGTACCTTCAACATTCTCCTGATGAATGAGCATGAAGTACCTTCAACATTCACCTGATCAATGAGCATGAAGGACCTTCAACATTCTCATGCTAAATGAGCGTGAAGTACCTTCAACATTCATCTGATGAATGAGCGTGAAGTACCTTCCACATTCATCTGATGAATGAGCATGAAGTACCTATAACATTCACCTGATGAATGAGCATGAAGTACCTTCAACATTCACCTGATGAATGAGCATGAAGTACCTTCAACATTCACCAGTCCTGACTTCTCTTCAAAAAGTTCAGGAAACGTGTTTCATAAAATGTCTACCTTAATTGAAACGGTCATGATTATCTCATCTCGAAACTGGTAAACTTTACGTGAAGAGATGAAACTGACATTTGATTATCATGATTATCATGGGAGTGTGGGTCAATTCCCCATAGTGACCTATAGGGCTGCAACGATACAGGAAGGTCACGATACGATACGCATCTCGATATTCTGGTCACCATACGATACGTATCTCGATACGCAATGATAAAAAACAAGACTAAAAGCATGTCAAGATTGAACCTTTCATGATTTTGGAACAGTCAAAATAATTTTATGATAATAAGACTACTGAAGTTGTTCAGCTTCAAAGTGGAACTTTCT